ATATAGAGTATAGGTATTTCTTTCTTCTTCAGTCTACTTCCACGATAGTATTATATTATCGAGCGATATGTACATAATACTATTTCAATCGTTTGGACTTTGGACTATTGAAATATCGATGATTATCGAGCAATATACTATATTAGTCGTCTGAACTTGGACCACCGAGCTACCGATAATTCAGCCATCTGAAGTTGGTTCGATATAGTCGATAGTATCAGAGATTTAGCCGACTAAAAGTATCGTTGGGTACTATCGACTAAATCGATAGTTTTTAGTCGATGGTGCCCATCACTACTATCTATATACCGAGAAGGGAAGGAGGACTAGGAATCATCCAGATCAACCTACACAGATCCAGAGCGGCGTCAGGAATGCTAAACACGTTAATGAACAGAAATGATATTGATATAGCTGTTATACAGGAACCATGGACAATAGCTGACAAAATTAAAGGATTAAGTTTTGCGGCAAATTTAAATGTTAACTACAAAGAAGATAGACCTAGAACCTGTATTATTCATACTAACAGATTAAAATCTGTTATCCTATCGCAATTCAGTGATAGAGACACCACCACAATGCTTATAGAAAAATACAATGGCTCCCAAAGAACTAACAAAATAGTCTTCATGTCTCTATATCTCCCGCACAATTCAACGGACCCTATAACGCCTAAAATAGAAGCTATACAGGACTGGAGTTACCAAAAGGGTGCTGAATTATTAATTGGAGTTGATGCTAATGCTTGTAACGAACTCTGGGAAAGTACACGCACCATCCCAAGGGGAAAAAAGTTATGGACTACATTAACGCTAATGGACTAACATGGGCGAACAAAGACTCCCATCCTACTTTCAATACGATTAATAGAAGTGAGGTCCTGAACATTACTATCATTTCCCTGGGCCTCAAATCCCTAATTAAAAACTGGAAGGTACTGGAAGAGCACTCCCTTTCAGATCATAATTATATTTATTACCAAATATCACTTCAGGATATCCCGGCATTCAAAATCGATTTTAATGCAAGAAAGTTAGACTATATAAAATATACTGAAATATTAGAGATGAACTTAAAAAAACATGCCAAAGAAATACGGTTCCCATGAGCAAATAGACAGGGTCAATGAACAATTAACTAGTTCGATTATCAATGCAGCGAACAAGGCCATGAAAAGCAGGAAAATTAAATACAAAACCAAACTACTTTGGTGGAACAATAGATTAGAAATGCTAGAGCAAAATTGTAAAAAGCTCAGGAAAAGGGCACGTAGGACAGGGAGGAACGCTGACAAGAGAAAAAGCAAGAGAATGGAGATTAAATTAGCTAAGGAAATTAGAATAGCAAAGAAAAAGTCGTGGCGCACTTTTTGTAATAACCTGAAAGGCACCCAGGATATTGCCAGAATCAATAGGATCCTGGAAAGAATAGACAGTACTAACCTAGGATTATTAAAGAAACCGGACGGTAATGTGGCAAATAGTATACAGGTGTTGCGGATTTTTGGGCTTTCCGCAAGCCTCCC